ACCTGATTTTGAGGGCATGTAAATGTGGAGACTCTAGATCTTCATTCAGAGCTAGGGTTGCTGGCTATTTGCTTTACAAACAGTGTGCTCTATTGTACACAAATGAGCCTTTCTTTAACTGACCATTAGAAAGGGGCTTTCTAATCTCTTTCACCCCAGGATCCAAATGACAAAGATTGAGCCGGTCAAACTCAATGAGGTATGACGTCAGCACAGAATACCCTTCTGCTGTGTACTTTTTTTTTAAACTTTGTGCCATGTACCCCATAACCTGAGGAAAAAAACCTACTGAAAACAGAACCATAATCAAGTTACTATGATGCAATAAGGTGTTATTATAGTATATGTTTATATAAAGTAATAGGACTTTTTACATCAGAAATTGTGACTCGTCATAGCAGGAAAAACACAGGTGTTACTAATAACAGTGAGTGTCCCAGTAAGCCATGACAGTGACCCCGCCTGCACAATACCCGGACCCTGGAACTAAAACAGCTTAATGGAAATTAGTCATTGATAAAAAAAACAAACAAACAAAAAAAAGATATTAGCTCCACATCCTATTAGACAGTACAGGTGTTTGGATTTGCAGACTTGAGATGTTAAATAATGGATGTTTCTATATGATATAAATCCAACAACAAACACCTAGGAAAATGGAGAATTTAGAACTTTGACTCAACTGATTTGGAAGACTGTAGAACCGATGCTCAGACTATGTTGTTATTTTTGCCTTATTGATTTAAATGATTGTATGAAATTACTTTAACCTCAAATCAGTCAGGAGACATAACTTGGATATCTTAGATGATTACTGGCAGAGAATACCCTCTTTCTCACCTACATTACACCAACAAAAGCTTCAGTGCTGAGCCCTGCTTGTGATTGAATCACCAGTGGAAGATGGCAGCACCCTTATCTGTGATATTTTGGCTTCATTTTTGTACAGTGGTAGGAAATGGAGACGTGCTGTCCATCTTTATATACAGTCTATGGTGCAGACACACAATCCCAATGATGTCATATGTCTAAATCTCCTAAATCTCTGAGTCTAACATGCATAAACCTGAAAGTTTATCACAACCTACAGTACATCCTCTGGGGACCATAACATGCTGTGGCAGATGGACAGTACAGGTCATATTCCTAACACACACACACACACACACACACACACACACATCATTTCACTAGTCACACAATCTCCCATTCTAAATGAATCTCCCCTCTCTTCCACTTCCCCCTCTTATATTTCAGTCTGTCTCACCCTCTCCCCTCAGGTTTAATTGACTGTTGTGGCAGATGGGGTGGCGGTTGGTCTATGGGAATCAATGTCTTCATTGTGGGACTGAGAGAGAGATTAGCAGCTAGTTAGCACTAGTGAGAGATGACAGCTGGCACCGTTACCCTCCGCTGTCACTCACTCACTAGTAGACACACACACACACACACACACACACACACAAAGTGTACAGTTAGCCCTCAGCCAAGCAGTTACACACAATAGCAATACCGCTCTGTACCTTGAGCTTGTCACTCAAACACAAAATAAATGTGGCCTAGTATGTTAATCGTGCACACACACTCAGGGATAATCCATTTTTGGCTTAGCTTGACATCTAAGAAAAGGAGGAAAGGCAAAATTTCCAATTCAGTCAAAACTGAGGACTCGCCGAGGGCACATCCCCACATTATTCAAAACAGAGCAGGGTTTAAAAAATGTTTCTGAATCCAGGGTTTGAAAATCTTTCAACCTATGATTTGAAGATAACTCACAAAAAAATTAAGGTGACAGCTCACTAAAATGATCTATCTACTTTGCATGAAAGCCAAGACACGAAAGCTTTGCCACTGATGCAGAGCAAACATTCATCATGTGATATGACACAAAAAGTGACTAAAACAGCTGTTGACAATGGCTCCAGTTTTGTTAAGGCATCTGAAATACTTCACGCTGATTTGGCAGCAGTTGTTTATTTTACATTTTGTTACAAGTAGTAAAATCCCCCAAAGAGCGCACACACACATACACAAAGTGATGTTTCTAAAAAAACTCAACTGTCACTTGGTGAAAGACTTTGGTATTCAAAAAGCTATCCTCTTTTGTAGGGCATCTTTGAAACCAGAACTGCGGATCTGAACCTATGCAAGGATTTAAGCTATAATGTTGGTACACTAACCAAACAACTGTTTGACGTAGTTTGACAGAGATGAACGAAATTGTTCATCATGAATGGTCACACAAACATCACTTGCTATTACTTTATCTATCTATTTACCAAACCTCAGTAACTCCTGTTAAACACATAGGAGCACAGAGTGCCAAAACCCACTTTTGTGAGGTTGATTTGTTTAAAAAAAGAGCATCCAGATGTTAGCTCAGCTGAGCTGCTGTACAGCTGCTACGGATCACAGGTCCTATTTTAGGAGGGTTCAACTGATACATGTGACAATCTGCAGAATTAATTACAAATGATGTGTTCCTTTTTAAAAATCATTTGAATGTCCTATTGATTGGTTTTTCAGTACATGTCAACTTCATATACTTTCCTAAAGACAATACCTGTCATACATTATGTTTATTAAACAGCAATGTTATCTTTCTGTGTAAAGATAAATATAAAAGCTAAATCTTGATATTCTATATACTTTACACAGGACAACACCACAATAACTTAGTCTTAAGTCTAGTCTGTTCACTAAAGTAACAAGTGAAACTAAATGTGGAACCTTGTAACACTATTATTTCAAGCATATGCATGTATAGCTCTGTGAACATTTACACACACACACACACACACAAACGGTATTATGCAGTCACTGCCCCATGAGAGATATTATTAAATTTCCTCCAGGGTTCCCACTAGGACTACCATGCCCGGTCAAAGTAGACCAGGGGAGGAAAACTAACAGGACTCATGTTGCTACCATCTTCAGAAAGATGTCTCTTATGACTGGAGGGACTGAAGGTGTCAGTTACTTGGCTACTTCTTCATCTAGGTCAAATCAAGTTCAACAACAGACGCTTACAATCCCTGACACTGCGTGTTTTGACATGCCACTGGGAAACTGGCTTGATTTGAATATTTGCATGGTCCTTAATGTGCAGAATGAATCCTATGACTCAGTGAGTGTTATCATCCATTCAAAACATACAGAGCAAATTCAAACTGCACAGCTGTCAACCCGAAGTAAAGCTGTTTTCTTTAATTCCTCTATTTTCAGACGGGGGGAAAATGAGCGTCTGATCATGACAGCCTCCTGCACTGCACATTCTGACATGAGAAAATGCTAGAAATCCCGTTCTGTTAATAAATATTCAGGGAGCATCATAGAGGCTTTTGGCTTATTCTTTTGGCTGACATTCATCTGCTTTTGACATGGGAAAATATCAACTAAACATGAACTAAAAATAAAAATCCCCTAAGATTAAACACGCACAGCTTTTCAACGGCTGTAAATTAATATGCCAACTATGAACAGCTGGAGGCCAATTTAATTCAACGGAGTGTATTTGTTATCCTTCCCTGTTCCTCAAAGTATAAGCCACAGTTTATACATGGTAGCCAAAACATGGGTTGAACCACGTCAATCAGCATGTGTAGAGGGACTGAGACCTACAGACATCTGGATGGATGAAGACACCAAAACAAACTGGGCCTTAATTACTGTCTAGTTATTGAGCAACACCTCGCTCTGCGCTTCCTCCCTCTCCGCGGAATAACAAAGGGTTGGAAAGAGAGGTAACATGATATAGATGGATAGTGTGTGTCTAGTATTGCACTCTCAGACAGTGTGTAACACAGCACCCCCCCCCCACATTTTTTTTGCTTAAAACCAATGCTCTTACACCATAGACAGTGGACATAGCCACTGTGACGTCATCCATTGGGTTGTGGACTACCGTTTTGAAGCCTCGAGTTTGGCAAATTGACTGTCACCATTTTGTTTTTTCAGAGCTATAAGTGAACATATTTGAACGGGAGGATGTAGCTGGTGAGGGTCACCTAACAGGTCACCACAGAAGTGAATTGTAGGCCATTAGAAAAAAAAAAAAAAATAAATTAATCAGGTTTTAGGAACTTCTGCATTGGCTTCACTTTTTAAACCCAGAGGTTTCTGCTGGCCTTACACTAATAAACATTTTCCTGGAAGTTATCAGTCACATAATCACCTACTTGCTTTCTGCTTTAAAACGTATCTTGTTGCTGCTGCTCAGACAGCACCTTATTTCTGTCAGCTACTATTCACATTCAAGAAAAGCTGATGAGCGCCTGAGACTGAGTACATACACATTCATCTATGTCGACATTGAACAGTAACATTTAGTGAGAAGATGGAGATGTAACGTGAGCAGCGTAGATCGGCTATCACCTTTTCTCAACCAGCTCCTACTTATTCTTTGATATGCCATGCCTGTGTGAATGTCACTTCACTCAAGTGTGGCTCCGTGTATCCAATTTGCTGTCCTACAGTGTGCAGATTATGTGTTTTGGGGCATTATTTTTTTTTTAAAAAGAAGAAAAAAAATCAACCACTCCCTTTCTCTCTAGGTGTAAAAACAAGGCCTCTCCATTGTTTCTGTGCAAACCATCTCCGTGTACAGATAGGGGTGATTTTCTAGTTGATAGGTTGCAGAGTGCTATGTAGATATGAACCATCATATCTGAGCCATCCTAGTGTCTGACACCATCTCTTTACACTGTACGTAAAGTTCTTTTGTCCTTGTCGTTTTGTAGTTTACAATTTCTGCACCTTGTCACCAAGATGAAGACTTATGCATATACATTTGCTGCAAGTGGTGACTTAACGTTTGAGTCTTGCCAATACTTTAAAACTCACCACAATACAGTTCAACGCTTTACAATGCATTTTTTGGAACAGTATGCAATACCACATTTGTCTTATTCATGGCTGCAGCAAGCAAATTCCCCCATGTGCAGTATCTCTCTCTCTCTCTCTCTCACACACACACACACACACACACACATATATCTTACCTCCATGGCTAGTGCAGCTGTTTGCTGGTCGTAGTGATTCAGTAAATTGGGCATAAAGGTGGTGTTATAAGGCAGGTCCTGGCACATTCTCAGTCTGATGGGCTCACAGCTGAACTCACTGTGGCTCTCTATGAACTCCATATGAATGGACAGAGCAGGTGTCACCAGGGAGAAGACGAGTAGGAAGATGGGGATGCGGAGCAAAGAAACACGGACAGGAACTTGTTGTGTGCAGTACATTGTTGTAGTTTTTGAAAACCAGTCTTTCATACATCCTCTTCCAACAGGTGGTTCCACCTTAACGTTAAACATTTCTCCACAGTGGCTCAGACACTCGTCATCTTCACCCAGACAAACACTAGATAACTGTTTTTTTTTTTTTAAGGCTTCTAAACATTAGACGCAATTGAGTCCACTTTTTGTGTGAGTAGTGGAGTCAAATGGAAGAAATCCACATGCCAGGTACGCTCTGTATATGTACCCTGATCTACACATGTGGTGGGGTCCCAATTCATCTGTTGGCCATGAATGGAGCTGCCCTTTGTGAATTTGTGAATTCACCAGCCATTGTAGTATTTTCTTTTCTTGTACTGTGCTTTTTAAATGTACTGAATTGTTCCTCATTTATAAAACATTATTAGATTTGACTGAGCTTCCTCCGCTGGTCAAGGAATGATTCACCTTGTTCCATCCTTAAACTGAAAGCATGTCCCTGAGAGAGCAGCTCCACCATCGGCCATCTGCTGGAGGCCCCCTCTGGGTTGCTGAAGGTCTCTTTCTTCCACTCTATTTGTTTTTGTCTCCTCTCACGCTATTTTCAGTGATGTTGCAAAGACACATATGAAGCTGAGCCCATAATATGCAGTTGTCCTTCAAATGATTTCACTGGTTCCTCTGCAAGACAAGACAAAAATCATGTCTTTTACATTTAATTGCCACCTTGGAGTGGATCCATCAAGCCAGTCCTGCAGGTTTAAAAACACAAACAAGAAGGACAAAACAAGCAGAGTGGGCTCGCTTACAGTAAGGTTGTTCTGTATAGCTGGTCTAGTCTCTGATCAGCCACACCCTTGTCTCTGTACAAGTCAGGATTAAAATATCTGATGAAATCTACACCAGCCCATTAGGTGCTAACTGGGCATTTAGAAAAGACCTTGACCGTGTGTACTTTAGGGGGGAAATACTAATGAGCAATAATGTCATTTTATCTTCATCTATATGAGCGTTGTGTCAGCAGGGTCACGCACAGTTTATGTCGCAGGCTACTGAAAACATGCTCAAAGCAAAACCACGACAACTAGTGCCTGTTTCAAGACGTTAACATGAACGTTACACCTGCGGACGCTCAGACACTCCCCCACTCTCATGTTTATGTGAGGTTGGCCGGGAAACAGTAGCGTTACCCTGCGATGTTTCACACTCTGCGACTCGGTGTGTTTATGGTTGAGTGCGCAGTAAACTTTATAAATAAGCCAGGGTAGTGGTGCTGTTGAAATTAAATTGATAGAGTTGTAATTTAACACCTGCGTCAAACTGCGACCGTTACAAATGCGCTAACTTGCGTGAAACCCGAATAACGCAGAAAGCTAGCTAGCCTTAACGTTAAACTGATATTAACCTTAAATTGTACTGAACACCTCTGTAACGTTAACAGTCCGCCGGGTTACGTTACATGTCACGTTGTTTAGGTCTGTATTGAGGAGGCTAGTTTAAAACCGCACAAACCTTTTTTAAGGTAACGTTAGGCTTCAGTGAGGCATCTTCGCTGCACTGAAGCAACACTCAAACACGGTGACACGCCAGGAACTGACCGAGAGCGTATCAATCTTAGGGGCTGCTGTTTGTCACCGCAGCGTCTTCAGCCCAACAGCGCGCTATTTGTGCACATGCGATTCCCTTAAAGCGTGTCTGTCTGTCTGGCTTGCCGACAACAGTGATTTAAATGAATAGCATAGTTCCTGTCTAACGTTAATCGTAAATGCGTTACCTTGTGTGAGGCTAACGAGCGTCTTGGGCGCTGCTCGGCTTCTCTCACTGCAGCACGTCGTTGTTCCACTATTTGCAGCTGGTTGCCCGCAGCGTGCAGCCGACACATCGTGCCCGCGGATTCCTCGTGACCGCGCAGAGACGATAAAATTGCCCCCACTGGACGTTGCATGCTGTTGTGGGATTTATATAAATGTATGACAGCACTCATAGATAGGCCTATGTGTGATGGATATTTGTTGGCGATAGCCCTAGAAACTGTATTTCATTTTAATGAAGGCGAGATGGGCCAGAACTCAGATATGATTTACCGATTCTTTTTTTTTTATCTTAGCAAGTGGACAACACAAAATAAGGAAACTGTGTTTTGTGTGTGTGTCCCCTAGATGGATGTGGGGTCTTTGATGTTTGTAATTGATTTCTCCCTTGTCAACAGGAGTGAGAGTTTATTTGTGAATGTTAATTATTCTATCCACCATAATTTGACATTCAAGTTGTATGGGTGTGCTTATGGGCACAAATAATGGCAAACACAGCTTGTGGCACGACATTTTTGTGTTTATCACTTGTGCCCCAAAAACTAATAGGCTCCAGAGTCACTAGAGATTCAGCAACATTCTGAAGGTCACATGGAGGCCATTTTGAGGTTAAATGGGATCCAACCTAGGACCCCACGTCACATGATAGTGTCTGTTGGACCGGACACATAAGGTGAAAACCAATACTTGAAAAAACTACCACTGAAGTGAAGGCAGAGATCCAAACACACATCCTCAGAGGCTAGGTGGAAAGGCAAAACTAAAAGCTAGAAAATATCTACAGGCAATATTATCAAAAAATCTTTATTAAAATTATACATTGAATACATATACTGCTAAAAACATCAGGCAAATAATGAAATCTACAAGCACATCCATCTTTGTCAATTAAAAAAAAAACAAGCAACTGATGTTACAGAATACATACCTTTAACCCCTTTTAGAGAGCTTACGGATTAAAATCAGGGAGAAAGATGAGTGAGGACACTGGGTTTGTACCACTGGATTGTCCTGCTCAAGTTTTTTCAAGAGCCTAAATTTCTCTTGTTTGGTAATAACAATGCACCCACCAAAAGCTCTGGATTATCCATTTAGCACTGACGAGTGCACTTTAAGTCTGCCATCAATTCAAATCAATGCATGTTTATTAATTGCCACATTTTCTTTTCTCTGGATCCATTACATTCAGTCACAGAGCAGAGAGCAGAAGTCAATTCAATCAATTTCAAGAAAATAACTACACTCATTTTATCCCGATCATCTCAGTAATAATGAACGCCCTTTTACATATAGCGATTTGGTAATGTTATTGTAGACGGTCAGTTATTGAAAAAAAATATGAAATGTGCTAAAGTCAGAAATGGATTGCGTTCTTCATAAACCTCAGCCATGGGAGCTCCATTACGTCACAGGAAACGAAAATGCCAACACATCATTACAATATTACAAACTACGACTTTACTTCAATTCAGTAAATTTGTGATTTCTGATATCACAAAAATCTTATCTACCTTACCGCACATATATACTCTTAACTCATATTCATCTTGTGATTCAAAATACAAATGTCATCAGTCTACAGTGCGACATCAACGCCAAACTGACTGAGATGGTCTCAGCCTACTGTGGGTCAATATTTATCCCTTTCAGCCTCAGGATTAGTACTGCGTGCTTTGATTCCCTTCCACACAATTGAGCACAGCCCTAGATTAACCGTTTCATGGCTGATCTGATCTTCTCTGTCGTTGAGTTGTGGGAGGTCTGTGCCAGCTGGCCCACATTCTGGTTTAACATCTTGGTATAACCCCACTTGACATTCAACCACATTATACTGTACATACACAAATGCACTCAATACTTACACAGCCAGGATTATATGCAATTCAGTGCATCTTTCCTAAAACATCCTTTTAATAGGCCCATGCAACTGCATTTTAGTAATCTGAACTTTAAATGTGGGGTATGCGATTCTGGAGAAAGCTAATCCAATAAAAAAAAATTTGTAATTCAACGAATATCTCGTCATGATCCACCAGTTGTCTCTTCTGTGTAGTTGCTGAAATCCGGTGTTTGTACACAGCCCTGGATCTCTAAAAGGGAAACAATAAGGGCTCGAACCGAGCCACACAATGCTATTCGAGCTAATCGGCAAATGGTTGTGTTCGTGGATGTGCAAAGGTACAGTTGCTGTATGTTTGGTGTGTTCAACTAGTCAATTATTTACCTACAGCATTTAGCCACAGTGGAAACTCTAATGAATATTTCACTAACTGCAGTAGTCCTTATAATTATCTAATAGTACAAACATGTCCAATTTAATTTGAAGCCTCCATAGTTTCTCCATAGTTTTAAAGATAATTGGAATTTTAGAGCAAACACATCACACAGTTTACATCATATGACTCAATATTACAATTTACCAATGCGCATAAACAAATAGCATGAAACAAAGTTATTTGTGGGCATTAACTTTATATGTAGGCAAACACTGACGAGTATGGTTGGAGTGGATTAAAAAATGAAAAGCATTTAGAACAATAAAATACATTTTGATGAAATTAGAGTTCATACAAGCAAAAATACACCTTAATTAAGATAAAACTAATCTAATCAAAAACATAATTTTGCTAGATAGAAAAATAGGTTTCATCATATTGAAATACATTTCTTAGCGTGACATATTTGGTGATCCCAAATGGATGGATTCAGATTTCCATCTCAATGTAGCTTCCACACATTCATTTGAACACTGAATCCCAATATCTGCACAAAAGAATCTGCACCTGCTGAAACGTTTACCATCGATGGGTTTCATCAGGTACGGACGCTGACTCTAACCCAACTGTATACTGCTCACAGCTTCAGACAAGACATACAGTTTTGTTAGTAAATGTACGCATAGAGCCATTTGGTGCCCATCTGTGAATCAGGTTATGTGGCTATATGAAACAGCAAAGCAAGAAGCAGTTTCTTCAACTGATTTCACTGTTGTTCCACAGTGACACTTACCTAGCTGACTTATAGGGAAAAATTGACTAGTCTGAAAAGAGGTGCAGCAATGGCTTTTGGGATTTAGCTGTGCTTGTCTACATGGAGTGGTGTCATTCCTGCATTTTGTTCAGTTATGCATCAGTGCGCTGTTCAATCAGGTGTCGGCTGTGGGGAGAGCACTGAGCTTCTTCCTCCAACTGGAAGAGAGAATATAAAGATAAGTTAAGGGCGTTTGTATGTTCTTCTGACTTAGAAGAACAGAGTATGGGAGATCAAGTGGGAGTAGATAAGTGTGGATAAAATGTATCTGTGTTCGAGTGAGACCAAGTGTGTGTGTGTGTGTATGCACGTCTAAGTCAGACAGAGATTCAGATTGACACACACCACAGTTACACCCCTCAAGCATGCCCACCCACCCCCACACAAAGACACACACACACCTGCTCTTTGATGTAGCTGTTCCCACAGGGGGCCAGCCCTCTGAGAGTCAATCCAACAATGAAGCACCAGACAGACAGTCCAGCCTCAAACGCTGCCAATACAGCACAAGGGATCCACAGCGCCAGGGTGGTGTCCTGAGAGACAGGAAGTGATGAGAACGAGGAAGAAAAGTGTGAAATAAAGTAAGATTACGAGGTTGAACATGTGATGCTTTTATAAAATTTCATGCATCAAAGGTTGCAGCTTGAATTGTCAGACAAAGAGCAAACTGGGGGAGAAAAGTGCTAAAGGAACATTTTAAAGAGGGGGAAATGTAAGAGGTAAGACTCACATAGATTCGTGTTGTATCAAACGGGCATCTGACACTGACAGGTGACCGAGCGTTGATGGGCACCTGTGTATCATTGCATCCCAGCATCAAGCCCTGCCCATTGTGGGCAACAGTGACACTAATAGCCAAGATGAGCCCAGTGCAGCATGCTGCTGAGAGCAGGGCATTCAGGAATGATGCAATTAGAAGTCCTATTTGCTGGAGACATTGAGACAACAACATTTAAAAACAGGAGGTGAGGTAGACACAGAATGAATGACTGGGGTGATAATCAGTAATTTAAAACAAATGAAATTCTTACCAGTTTTGACACATGAAGGTTCCTTGACACCACGATGGAAATAATCCCAGTGGCAATGCTCTGTAAGATTCACGACAAGATGATTGTTTCACTTTACTGCTTTGGCACGGAGTAAGGTTTATTAAATTATGTGCCACAAGCACTAATCCTGGCCCCAAGGAGGTGAGGCTGCATCTTTCATTGGTGCCAGGCAAAGCAGACTTTTTTAATACTAAAAACAGTAACTTGTCTTTTTGTTCTGTCTGTATTACTTGTAAACCCTTTAATACCCTGTCCATGTACATGGTATGGACTACATTTCAAAGAAATCCACAGCTGCCAGTATATCTGATAGCTGAAAATAATGAAGCCTGCCCTCGGGCAACTAGTGACAGTTTTGAAAAAAACAGCTCTCTTAGAATAATAGACAAGTTCAGTCTTGATTGCTGATAAAAACTATACTGAGCTAACAGTGCAAAACACTTTTGATATTTACCGCAGGTAAAGAAAGTCACAGGGGTGAATTCAACATTATTCATGGTGAAATGTTCTGATACATATATAGCACCAATTACTTTACTTCTGAAAGTTCTGCACACCTGAAGCCCCTTGGTGCACACTGCAGATCTGACACTTAAACAAAGGATGATTGTCGTAACTGTTGACTCACCAGCAGGCCAGAGGTGACGGAAATGATGTTGGCTGCAGTGTATTCAGTGGTGATATGCTGGCTGGGTTTGGAAATGTGGCGGAGAACGTTGCCATGGACAATAGCTCCAAGGATGAAATTAATATGGCCGACCAGGATGAGAGTTAATCCCTTTTTCATCAGCCTCCTTGGCCCTTTGTCCTTATCTGGATGACAGAAATGCAAGAATTACTCATTAGAGCTTACATCATAATAACGTCTGTAACGATGCCTGAGTGAAAGCTTGAAACTGGTTGGTGAAAAGGGTTTCTCTAAATACATTGTTACCTCACACCATGTTGTACACAAAGCAAAACGTTTTACTCTCACAACACTATATATTCATTCATTCTGTGTTAAAGCCCAACTGATAAGGCTACTGGATTTTTCACCTATATCATTATTTGACAGTTTAAAAAGTATATTCACTATATTTATGTATACGTACATTTAAAGTATGTGCACACCTATATTACACACATACATATATACTATACATGTTTAACACAAATATCAAAAGGCCTTTATTTTGTGTGGCAAATACTTAATTCCATTTGTGAATGAGTAATCTAAAATAAGATGAAACTGAATTATTAGACCATTGCAGCCGCATAAATTATTTTTTGCATGTGAAAAGGAAGTCAAATCTTAGGCTATAAGCCCACAATAAACGTTTCTGAGAAAACTAAACTTCATCAATTATCTTTTTAATTTTAAGTCTTCCATGGGATGGATGATGATCAACAATAAGTCCTTGCTCCTAAAACATTCTTTGGTTTACTGCAAAGGGATGGACAAAAGCATTTGCATAGAAAGGCTACATTCACACTAACTGTGGGACCTCCTTATGTAGCTACTGAGTCACAGAGATGTGAGGAAGCAGTGTGAGTATAAGTGATACTTTTATAACGTTCAGGTTACTGATCTGTTCTCAGTCAGTCAAGTGCTGACATTGCATTTCCTCTAAGGATAAACCACATTAGGTAATTCATTCTAGGCCTATACACGCGCTAACGTTAACACACATACGCAACGTTTAAAAAAATAAAACCTTATCATCGCCCCTGGAGGCCTGTGGTCTGTTACACCCGCGGAGGGGAAAGTAGAGGCGGACACACTTTAAGCAAGTAACTTCACTTCGCGAATGCGGGGCGTTAAAATTGAAGACTATCACTCACCAAAAGTGCACATCTCTCTGCTGTATCAGACGTTTCCCTTTCAATAAATCACAGACCGTAATTTTTCGACACACTGATCAACAACAAACAAGCAGAAACTCCAACGTCCCTCTATTCACTTCCTGTATGACGTCAGGAAATTCACCTGTGGATTACCTGCTGCTTGCTGGACGCTGAGGGGCGCAACAGTGATTCCAGATTTATCTACATGAACAATCTGAACAATCCGCAAAAGGGTATAACGCTGAAAAGCAACAATCCACTAAATCTTTCTTGCAGACTGGCAAAAAACAAAACAAACAAGCATTTCACACATTTATTTGAAAGGTTACACTTTGCAGATGTTGTCAGGATACATGTCACAGAAAAGACACATATTTACTGACTTTCATGTCATATACAAACTATAAGAATATCCAAATATAACCACACGCCCTTGAGTGAGCCCATCCTATATGATTATTTAATAACCACTTTCAACACCACCAATAATGTAGATAAAGGGGGGGGGGGGGAGCTGCTCTGGCAATCACATTGGTTGGTTTTTACCACTTCTCTACAGAAGTGGTACACTTACATTCTCCTGGCTTTAAAAACACATCTTTGGAATATACAATCATAACAGTTCACAAATAGACAAAGGGGGGAAAGTAAATACATTAACAAAATCTACACACATTTGGTATAGCAAAAATGCAGATTGGAGCACAATAATAGCCTGAACACATTTAAAACATACTTCAGAAATATGAGTGGAGATCATTGGATCAATATGATCTCAAAGATGAGGTGAGCAATTTAACATTATAACTCACCAACCAGCATCAGAGGAAAGTTGACTGAAAGTAGTTAAATTAAACTGCTACTGTGATCATGAGACACTTAATCTGTATATGATCTATAATCACAATAAAATGCCAGGGAAAAAAGTAATTTATGGAGTTACAGCTGGACTCCACTGTTGTTTTGCTGCGAATGTAATATTTTCTTTTCATTCTTACTGCCTCTTTAAGGTCCTGAATTGTACGAGCTATCAGACAAAAGTACCAGGAGTCCACATGCAGTTCTGAGCCAAAATGTTACAATGTAATGTCCCACTTTTATCAAATGAAAACAAAAGAAACAAGAATAGCGGTGTATTGGCTCAGACTCTGAACAATGTGGTCTCTGTGAAATCACAGTCAACAAAGGGTAGTAAGTAAAGAAAAACAACTGATATACACGATCTGTAACATAAATAAAACATGGCGGTCTCACAGATATATCAGGAAAAGACTAGGTCCTCTTTCTACAGCATATGGCAGGGGAGTTCAGTACACAGTCTCACATAAATTAATTTTAAAATGCAGAGTAGCATGTGTGAAGCCAACAGCAGCAAATGGTCAAACAATGAATAAAATAATAACCAAAAACAAAAGAGAGAAAAGAGAAAAGAGGACATTAAGGCATGTGCGTAGGCCCTGAATAAGAATAGGGCAAAATATAAAAACAAACACACAAACGGAAATTTACAAGTTCACAGTACCTCAAAGTAACCAGGTATCCATTTTCCAGAGAATTGGCATGATGCCCGCCCAAAATGTGATATGCATTAGTGGACATTCATTCTGTTATGTATCAAAAGGCTTTTTAAAAATATTACTCATAGGTATTTATCTATTTAAGTAAACCGAGAAAGGTGCATCTGTTCCATCCAGTTTTCAAATTATTACATTTATTCAATCTGATAGGAGACAGGTTGGTCAAATACATCACATAAGTTAAAGAGCTGGGAATGTTCTGTCATATGAGACTAAACAAAAAGGAACCAAATCAAAGGGGCAAGCTTTTGAAAAATGAGGATCTAGAACTAATGGTTTGGCTGGCTTATTTTGTAAGATTTTCTTTGGGTAGAAATGTAGCAGCTGGTGGTCAACAGGTGGTACATTGTATAATACAACAGAAGTGAAAGGTGAGTCAGTATATGTGGTGTGACTCCAGTGAAGGTCTGATTATGTTTTGGACTGTTTCATCCTGACACAAACTTGCCAGGCAATTCATAATGTAAACGCCTCACACTGAAATACAACCGTATGCTTGAGAAAAATTGGGTTTAAATGTAAAGCTGCAAGAAATCTTGTCAGTACTGCTGTGATCAAGTGTCCGTTGCAGCATTAATGAGGTTTATTTATTAATTAAATCTAACAGCCAACTTAGTAGCCAACTCATTCAAAAGAACAAAGGAGAACTGCACACTTTTGGTCACATTACCACCTAAGGATTAGTAGAAAAAAAGATTTTTTTTTTTTTTTAACTACTAAATACAGTCACTGCATTGAGTTACCAAAAACAAATGTAACAGGGTTGAGAGAGTGTCGCTATTGTAGAGCTTGGCTGAATGTTTCTTCTAGTAGAGAGGCTATTTTGTTTTGGTCCACCTGTGAAGAGAACACAAACAACATGCAAATCAGTACAACAGCCACGGCATAAAACTGAAATCCATTTGGAGGACATACTGTATATTCTCTCCCACGGAGAGATGAAGTGACTATACAACATTAACGTGGGTAGGTGAGTGGGCACGGGGGTATATATGTGGCAGTAAGTGTGCACAAGGCTGTTAGACTGGAATGTGTGTATGTGTTAGAGGGTATATGTAGGAGAGTCAGGGGTCACCCCACCTTTTAAAATCAACAGAATTTTCAGTTTGGTAGAGAAATAGCACACTCACCTACAGCATCACCCACACATTTGCCTGCAGCTTTGCATTAGTGTGCATGCGCACATGCAATGTGAATCTCTCTTTAACACACAAATACACCCACCTCACTGATTAAGCCCAGCTCCACCAACTCTCCAGCCAACTCTTGAACGTTCTCATCTGAAACACACACCAGCACAGTTAGTAATTTGTAGACATGTAACGCATCACATCAACTTTACCAGTCACTCTCTCTCTCTCTCTCTCTTTTACTTCAGGTAAAAGGTTGGGCTTAGGATAAATAACATACAGAAAATATGGTCCAGATGCTGCTTTTAAATTCCTCTGCCACCCAAACACATCAAAAACCAACAAACACATCTACTGCTCTTTGCATCTCTGAACCCATTTTGTTGTTTGGCAGTGCCAATTTTTAGATTCCTGTGGACATCCAGAAAAGTGTTCAACTGAATAATCCAATACAGTTAAAGTCCAGAGATCACCTGGCAGGAAAACACCAACATGTTTCAACCAGCATGGTTTTAATTAGAACACGATCTGTTAAAACATGTTAGCTTTGTAAATATTCCCTATAGCCTTGCTGTTAAAGGCTTACACTTTAATGGCCCCTTCCCCTTTCCTCAATGTGAGAGGACAAAACAAAAATAATCCCAGAAAGTTCTGGGTACATTTTTGTTCTTTTTCCAATGTTGTAATGAAACCGGTATTTAACTGTTTTAATATAAAAATCAGCAGTACATCTCATTTCATCATTTTCACATTCAATGCATACAGGAACAAATATATATCTAAGAAAATGCACAGATTCAATAGTGTCAGTAAGCCATGTTATAATGCAGCTACACAACGTTCTGTTATAGACAGACAATAACTCTTGCTTTGACTTTGCTTTCCGTTACTTTTTACATTACATGAAAGAAGTGTGAAAAAGAACTCACTAGCTTTGGTTAAACTATAAGGCAGGTTGAGGGAAAGTTAGTACACCAAAAAAACTGAACTACAAAGGGCATCAACAGTCTAAACAGAATGTATGTGAGGGTGCACAAAATATGGAAACATAAGGAATGCAGGATTTTATTTGACTAAAACATTTGGAAAATACATTCAGAAAAACCTGCTCAGAATTTCTGATATAAAATAACTTTTAATGCCTACTTTCTCTGAAAACTTAACATACATCTACACAACACTCCTTGCAACCCCTGAGATGTTTTTTTTTAATAAAGTGATAGTATTTAATGAAAGTGTTTTCATTATTATTTTTGTTACCACCCCAAATTGAGACATTCTTTGCCTGTGCCCAGTGAGCAGAAGAGTTGTCACGGTCTACCGATTTTTAATAACCAAGCTGGCAATTTACAACTTCATCAGGAATGTGGCCGGGGACAAGAAAAACAAGTGGAGGAGATGGATCAACTTTGACATTAAGAAAAGAAAAACACCCGCAGCCCACAGCTTTATAATCACAGGATTGATATTGGAGCTTGTTTGAGCCTTGTGGTCTCAAATAAAATCACCCAAAAATGTTATTTTTAAAAAATTAAAAAATATTTAGTTTTAAATAAAAAACAAGCTTCAATTGTGGGTGCATTTAAGTATAGTGTAGTAGAGCCACGCACAAGGCAAAGGGGCTGAAAAGTTGCTCAGTTAGCAAGTGACGCTGCACAGTGTGGCTTTGGACTTTGTCATGTTGATAAGAAAAACTTTAAAGAATATCCCTTGATATCAGCAGGAGGGACTGTTTACATAAAAGACAGGGTGTGTGTACGAGACAGACTAGAGTGTATGGGTGTGTATGGATGTGAAGTTACAGTATGTGCGCAAGTAGCATCAGGGTGTGAATGTGCAAGAGAAGACATAAGATGTGAGAAACAATCTGTTAGAGAAAGAGCATAAGAGAAGATTTGTCTGAGTGTGTCAGTATATGCGTGTGAATGAGAGACAGGGAGATGAAAGCCTGAGAAGACTTGGTCAAATCTTGACAGAGGAGGTGACAGCTGTCAGCTGCAGCCTTTCACAGGCCAGGCATTCCCCACACGCCTGCAACGTTATACATGCCAACCATACCTGTGTGTGCATATGCTCATTTGATCCCACGCAACAGTTGTGGTGTGTGTTCTTTTCCAATTTGCCTTCCTGTGGTCTAACCTGCCGCACAGCATTGAGTGGACAATCCTCAATTTCAAATAAATAAATTCCGTAAGTAGAAAATTCAGAAATTGTCAAGGACAATGATTTCTGTTTCCCAAGATAAAGTTTTAAACAGATGTCACGCCTGTCAGGTTTTAAAAGCCACCATGGCCTTAAAAAAACAAAACAATGGCAGAATACAATCCAAATATATTTCAACAAAATAGAGGTGCAAGGTTTTCATGACACATGAGAGACAGTAAGTCTCCCAGCCCAAAATAGTCCTGCATACTGTATATTGTGACGCCATCTGAGTTTCAAGCTCTCTCTGGAATCTCACTCTCAGTTTCCTACATGCCTCAGTGCACACATAATCATACAGACATAACCTCATCATTTATCATCGCCTCTTGTGAAATGTAATTCTAACATTAACCCTAAACCCAAGCTGTAAACTTAAACCGTCCAGATGGACAAAATGACTGCATAAAAACTCACATGGTCTTCACATGGATGGAAAACAAAATACACATACACAAACACGTGTCACTCCCTCCCAAATCCCATAATGAAAATGCTTTCTAGTATTATAGAAGTGCTTGTATGGGGACAAAACTATGACACACACACACACACACACAGTTTGGCCTCTAATCTTTTTATCTTCCCTTAATCTTACCTCCACATGACACACCTTCAACACTCATCTAATTGCAGGAGCCCCTGTAATTCTGACTGGTTTGAAATGTCAAAGGTTGTTACTTGTTATTTAAAAATACTGTCACCTATTTTCTTTTAGCGTGCCCAAAACCTCCCAGCTAACTTCTGATGTCATTAAACTTGACTGAATGTTGCATTTCAACACATCACCAGTGAGAGCTGGGTGGACATTTTGGGGTGTGAACATATTATAACAAAATTAGCGACTGTATCGTCAAGCTCACAGAGGGAGTAAGTGTCAGTGTGATAAAAAAAAGGTGGTCTTACGAGGTAACATGTCACAGCTTAGATGTCTATTCAGTTTATCCTCCAGTTTCAGCAGTAATGTTAGCTAATAGGAGAGAAACAGACAACAAATTATGATTTTTAGGAATTAACAAATGGCTGGAATAATATACTGTTGTTCAATGAAGGTACACCTTTATGTTGCATTTTAAAAAAGGGTTAAAAAATACATGATCAACCTCCAGGATAAACATTATTAGAGGGACTTACATGATACTTTGCTCCCTCCTCGACAGATTCAACATTACACTGCATTTGAATAACCTGCAGAAGAAGTATGTAAATCTAAATGTGAATGGTTCTCAACTAGTGTTGGTACAATTTCAGAACAATACTTTACTCCAGCATATGCACAGTACATATATCTTGATAAGAAGAAACATAAGCATCAGGATGATGTGAAATGTTGGCATTGTGATTATATCTTCCTTTTGTAATATGCAGTATAATCTATTGTACGCACCCTCCGTGTCTCAAGCTCTGCAGGTTCGGGGGTGGGGGATTTGACCAAGGGGGTGACATCAGGAGATTTAACAGTCTCTTGTTGAGACTGCTGAGGACAGGGCAGCCGGAACGCCGTCATTGGACAAATACCGTTCCTGATCCAGGGAAGGAGGGAGAGACAAAGAAAGGGAGAGGTGGAGAAAACATGACAGAAAGAGGGAGTGAAAGAGAGAGATACAGAAAGATGGGAGTTACATGAAGTAATACAAAATTGATAAAAACGTTTGAGGATGTAAAATAAGGAAAATGAGAGAAAAATCGACATTTTCAAATAAAATCTCCATTTTGAAACCAAAATATACATAACAAAACAAAACTCGTAACAAAATATTTAAATAAACAGCCAAAAAGTTAATACAAAATTACTTTTTACAGATTGATTACAAATGTGTATAACGTACCACAGTAACAATAAACAACACAAGAAAAGAAAAAACCCATTACTGAATCTGTAGCCAATTCAGTTCTTTGGCCAAAACTTCATATTACACATATGACAATGGTTAACAGCAGGTATTCTGCTATAAATTCTGAGTTAAAAGACATGTGAGTAATAAAAAAAAATAAAAAATTTAGCAGAGGAGTGTAGGAGAACAGCGGAGAAACATCCAGGATTTCCTTTTTAGGGGGGCATTATACCATATTTACTGTAGATGATATTTTATTTTAAAAGATGATGAAGACAACCACAACAGTCAGACGGTCCAATACTGCTCCCGTGTGGCTGAATAGTATTTGGTCCTTAATTAAATTGACAGTACAGAGCTGGCTCGGCTTTTTCTGTTCCCTGCTTTGCATCTTACCTCACATCCTCCAGGAATTTAGTGAGCTCCATGGCAGGAAACTGTGAAACTCTACAGACAAAAAGGAATACAATTTGATTCTTCAGCTTGAGGCCTTTAAACCACATCATTTAAAATAAGATACCATAATTTCTCCTACAAAATTCAGACACATAACAACTGAAGATCTAAGATTTACAACTTAGGGTCTATTTGACAACTTTATGTTCTTCTCCACTTGTCTGCCATTATACAGGTAGGTACATATCACTTCTTGTCCTAAACATATTAAGAATTAAAGAGTAACATAAATGCTGTTGTTGCTATTAAAACAAACACCTTTTGAATTCAAAAAACATTATTCTTGTATCTTTTGTTACTGTATTATTTTCTCTGAGTGACATCATTATTTGTGCTGTATCAAGCTGACGCTCATTGCCACTAAAATATGGATACCAGCTGCTGGCTCTTACTTGAGCTGAAAGTCCTCTTTCATCTCAGCGATGACCAGTTTGGGGTCGAGGTTCTTGGTAATTTCCTCCAGCGCATTCTCAGGAATCATGTCTGAACAATTATAAACCATTAAAGACAGATAAGGTTATACTGATTGTAAGGATAAATCCCTTTAAACTTCCCATATAGTTGCTTAGATTTTCACTGGTGGTGTCTGATTAGAGGACTTTAATGGATAATCAGCAGGTTCAGCAGTTTTAACTCTAGCTGAAGTCACTTGTTTGGTCTTCATATTAACCATTTCATCCTGACACAACTTAATTTCTGTTAAAAACAAATCAAACCTATCAAAACTGTATCTGTGTCTTTACTGTATGTGTATGTTAAAGACTCACGTTGGTGGCTGACAATACAATGTGCAGCCAGCAGTTTTAGCAGCGGTACTTCAAACAGAGCCTGGTCAAACAGCAGCTCTCTGGCTGTAGGCCTTGTGCTGGGATCACACTCGAGGCACTTTTGGATTAACTCCTACAAAAACAAACATCTGGGTCAACGCGTTGTATACACAAATGAGACTTTCAAATAAACACTAAGCAACATAAATATGCAAAGTTTAATCTGGTATGATCTTTCAAATTAATCATGAACACACACTCCACTCTCTTTCTCTCACCCTCTGCAGTGGGTCCTCCAGTAACTGTATGGCACAGTTGATGGCTTCCTGAGAAACATAAGAGGACTCTCCATTCCCCTGGATTTCCAAAAGCGCCATCTGCAACACACCAACACACACGTTCACAGATTGCTTGGGGAAAGGTCTCAGGCCATTCTATCATGCACTATAGGTCACATCTCACCTCTAAGGCACACATGCCAAACGAGTAGATGTCTACAGCTGTGGTGACATCATCAACAGCTACAATGAGAGAAAAAATATAAAGACAAAAAGTACAGATTGTTAGTCATTACTTAAAGGTGGGCTATGCGATTCCAGAGAAATTCAATTCCACAACAAATTACATGACAAAGAGCGAACAATGACACAACAACAAGTAATGTAACCAAGTAGCTACGTTGTGGGTTAGCAAACTGCTGCTACAGTTGCTACTGCGAAGCTAACATGCAGAGAACACAGGATGGTGTCAGGACTAAAGTGTCATTTTGGTGTCATGTCTACCTCCATATTCTGGGGCATAGAAGTGCAAGTTCTTCTGTTCCTCATGGCACGTCTTCACGTGGTTGTTGATGGTGTCTGGGGCAACTGCAGATGAGACAGGTGGAATAGAGGGGAGGAGAATATGGAGGATATATATAGAAGCAGGATGGAGAGAATGGAGAATGATTAATGAAGCCAGTATGAAGCAGAAAGTAGAGAAAGACAAGAAAGTGTGTGTTGTCGCCACAGAAGCTTTTCTGCACTTTGCTCCATCTTTTGCACTCCCCATCTGTTAAACAGTTTCCAATCCCTCAACATCCCACACTATAGTTTACACAATGTAAAGGTAATATTGATATTCCCTGTTCTTTAGCAGAAGGGGAGTGTGAAAGATGTAACAAAGTGCAGAGAAGCTGATACACTACCTTTGTTCACATCTACAATGTGCAGGGTTATTTCTGTACTAGAGAAAAGGGATATTGCCGCCATTTGGTCACATGAGATGTACATGTATGTACATAAAACACTGGTAGTGTGTAATCATGGACATTCACCTACAATCATGTGAAATGTAAATCCATAATGCAGTATCATTTGACTCCGTCAACGGCGCTCCAGCTCCGCTACCTAACCCCCAAGGATGAAACCTGTGTACGGTAACTCTATACCTGATCCGATCTTGATGAGCCCGTTGTGCTGGATGAAGATGGTGTCACAGGTCAGGTTGCCATGGATAATGGGGGGGTCACATGAGTGGAGATAACTGCAGTACAGACAAACAAAACAAAAAACATCCACAAATACAAATGCAAAATACATGAAAAAAGGGACTGGATTGTTCTCCACATGAGTACATTTTTTTGCAAGTGACCATATTGAATTTAACATAATGTCTGAAGAGGGGAACCAACCTGAGAGCAGACAGGATCTGTGTACACCATCTCTTCCAAGCCTGTAGGACCATACACCTTATCAGACCACTTACTAGCTAGTTTCCAGTACGGACTATGACTTGAACAATGTGATTTAACTTTGCTCAAAACTGGTACACAGCATATTTGCAATTTCTTTCTTTTGCCAGCAGCCAAATGCTTAAGGGATAACTAATCCTTGCTTTGGAAAGCCCCTCTTATCCGTGCTGTGATAAAGAGTCACTTTTCACACGACATGTAGGCAGGTCATGTGCATCAAGCTTTTCATGTAGCATTATTCCATTAAAAGGTACATCTACATACAGTCAGTTATTACCTTTTCATTCATGGTTTTGTGATTCTTCTTTGTCTTCTTTAGAAACTGCTTCAAGCTTCCTGATGACATATATTCAGTAATGAAAATCACCTGGGGGAGAGGAAGAAATTAAGGGAAACCTAGTCGCCAGACATCATTCAAATATAAATAAAAAAGACACACGAATACAAAAGATGATTTTACTCATGAAGACAGACAAAATATTCAACAACAAGCCTTTGTCTCCAATTTTAAGGCTACCAGTTACTCTGAGACTCACCCTGGCCCGGTTCTCCTTCGTGTCGGCCCAGTACTTGTGAAACTTGACAATATTTGCATGTTCTAAATGGATCAGGTTATCAAATACTGCCTTCACTTTCTCCTAAACACACACAGGAGAAATAAAATATAATAAGTACATATAATATGTTAAGATGCCAAATAAAAAATAAATTTTTCCCTGACTCCTCAGTGTCTGACAGACTATGCATGTGAACAAACTATAAATAATTACTATTTTCTCTCATGTTCTCATGAAGTTTGACCCGATGAACTTTTTCTTAGACACCAAAGGGAGCCAAACCTTAGTCTCATTATGTAAGTGATAATACACAACAGCCGATTAATTGATCAAAAGTAAATTAAATATGACTTGGTTTTGGACAGTTGGTCAGACAAATCTAACAATGTAGAGACGTTACACTCCGTTTAATCAAGAAAATACTCATTATTTGCAACCTTATAATACACAATGCCAGACATTATGTGAACTGTACACAGATTACCAACAGAACAAGAGGGGAGCATTTTTCTAAATATGTTCCACAAAAGGTATGAATGTTTTCCTTTGACTAGACATTTATATGTATGTATTTTAAAGAAGCTCATTAAATGCCAACAACAATACACCAGTGTTTGCCCAAAGTCTTAAAATATGACAATATTGTTTTTCGTTGAAGCTACATAAGGGATCTGTAAGGTAACTTAACTTTAACTGCCATTGCTTGTCACTGGTTTTTCCAAATTGCAGAAGTGGAGCGGTGTTTGTGTGCATTACAGCAAGGGTTTTCAAAGTCTGAGACTGCGGGCCTCCCCTCAAACAAAGCTTGGGAAACGGCGTCCCCCAAAGTTTACTTGATAAGTTTCACTCAATTCCTAGATGCCTATGGGATCATGATTATATTATTTGATCCTATAGACACTGTTTGACATAACTTCTGACTACACCAAATAGTTAAAAAAGAAAAATGTCTGTCCTAAGGCATTTATTAGTTTCTGACTCTGATGGGGGGAAAACTGTTCCCAAAAACTACTGTATCTCTGAACTCTCACACATGGCTATTTTATGTGAACTCCTTTTGATAACTAATGCGATAAGTAATGTAATATTGTTTCACTTCCATTCACTGAGCCTCCCCTGAAACCGTTTGGAGTCCCCCTAGGGAGGCCCGCCTCACACTTTGAAAACCCCTGCATTACAGTGAAGGAAGAGTGTTTACCAAATCAATCTTTCTATTTTATAATCCTGTATATGTGCATGAACTACTGAGGCATATGAAGATATATTAGACAACAGTGTTCTTTCCCTTTTTTACATTTGGAGGTGAAATCTGCACCACATTTTAGATGAGCTGACATTTGTTGTGTTTACTGTCCTAAATAAGCCATATTGAATTAACTCTACAATTACAAGTCAAGACTATATGACAGTCAGTGCGTAATCCCCAAAGTGACTGTCTTAAACTGTTTTAGTTGTACTCTGGGCCTCACCTCCAGCTGTTTGAAGTTCTTCCGCTCTGAGATCATGACTTCATTCCAAACTACCTCTACACCTTCCTCTGCGTCCATGGCCAAGTATGCAGCATCTATGCCTGGGACATTACGCTGATTCACCTACAGTAGACGTGAAAAGAAAATAGCTTGTGAGATAATATACTTTAAGAGCAAAATGAAACACAAGAGACAAAAACATATCACCAAAGAATAAACTTGAATAGCATACATTCACTGCCATCCTCCTCCTCCTGTTTCAGCTGTCGTGGCGATGTCTTTGCATCCTTTTACTGTTGCCTTTTTGCATTTTGATTCTGACTTAACTCAAATATTACATAAGTGTGTAATTTTGCTAACCATGCCTTATGCATATTATTACTTCACAATGACCAACCAGCTTGATTTCTCAAATAACCCCCATCAGATAAACTAAAGTTTTTGCCTTCTTGGCCTCCCCTTTACCTCCTCTCTGCGTTTCTGCCAGCGGCCACATGGACTCTCTTCCAGGATTTCTGACTCATCTTCACTCTCATCCTCATCCTCTGTTGCTGTGGTTGCGGGAGGCTGTATGGAGGCCACAGGCGAAGACAAAGATGCCCCACCTTGTACCTGTTGAATATTACTGGACATGTGTGCTGCTGTGACCTCTGGCTTGTTTTCCTCTGTACCTGGAGCTCCCTTCCCGTGTGGATCCGACATCATGTAACAAACCTGTATGCTTGCTGACTTTCCGTGCCAAGGCTCCAGTTCATTGGTTGCCAACAAGTGACAGGAAGCCTCTTTCTCACTTTCTCCTCTCTCTGTTAGCGATGGTCACACATCCATTTTCTTCTCTGGCCTGGCTTTCAACAAGGTAGAGCTGCAGGAGGGAGGGGCGTAGAGAACTGACACATGTAGAGCGAGAGGCAGGGAGAGCTAGTTACCAATGGCAATAAAGTTACAAGTATCATCTTTTCTAACGTTAAGTTGTACTACATAGTGAGACATGAACTTGTGTCGTGTGCTCTACCTGTATCTTGGACTCAGAGGCAAAGAAACATTGCTGTTACAGGACACTAAAACATCAGTCACTCAAACTAACCAGCCATTGTAGCTAACGTTAACTTAGCTGTTGAAGGCTGTTGCTAATGTTCAACGTTAGCTTAGAGGAGGTCAGCCCCCCACTCCTACTGCGGTAACTTTCCCCCAGCTAACAAGCTAATGGAAGGTAAATAAACAATAGCTAACATAAACTTAAGTTGCAATATCTAAAAATCTTACCGTTGGACAGAAGACTACCACCGAATAAATAGTACCGGGTTACATACTGATGAAAAAGCAATAAAAAGAGACGCTTTTATACAGAAATGCTAGTTCGTCATAAAATATGTTGTTGGGTTTCAAGTCCCTTTCTCTTAGCAGAAGTGGGAGGGGCGGGGCAGCGCTTGAGGAGCGCTTGTTTGCGCGCAGGAAACGCAGTGGTGTAGAGTTACTACTAACTAGACAATCAAGAGCACACATAGATAGGGTTTCAAATATTACATTTAAAACATCGTTAAAAACTTCCATATTCTTCTTTTTAACTAATTGTATAACTGTGTGGTCTAGTCCTTGAAGTCTACAACATGTAGTTTAGCTTCAGCAGTGGTGGACCATTGTTGCTTTCTCAGATAAAATTTGAAATAATTTACACTAAATAAAGACTTCAAACACGCATTTTGGTCAACGTGTGTTGCAAAGTTTTTTAGCACTCTAAAACTCCATGTAGATAGTAAAGCCGTCTGTTGTGCAGCTCGAAGAAAATCAAGATAGTTCACATCCATAATTCTAGTTTAGAGGGAACGGATCGCGAAAGGGCCTATAGCTATTTTAAAGAAAATGTCCATATCGTACATATCGATTCCAGTATCTCATTACATACGGATGCATTTTGTGCTGTTTGGCTATATTACATATATAATTTAAATAAAAAGAAGTTTATGAGTTGGGTTGGGTTCAATCTACGTGGTTTAAACGAAAACGGAAGTTGTCAGAGGCGAACACTCTCGCCTCGCTCGTACAGCTGTTTCACGTTGCTAATATTCTGCGCAAGATGTTATCCACGATTTAGTTACATGCAGGGCAGTGATGCAAACAAGCCCTCTGGAAAATAAAGGAATTCTTGTGTGGCTGTCTTTTTGATAAAAAGACCCCTGTCTCTCTTCGCCCACTATGCGGAGGCTTAACGGTACCGAAGCCGTCCGCATAGGTCGTATATAACGGATATTTTATGGAAGGTGGGACGAGGGAGAGCTTGTGAGGCTGGGGAGTCGGGACATCGGCTGAGCTGGAGAGAGGAGCGTTAGCAAGCTAGCTTTCGTGACAGTACGGTTATAACGGAACAGTGACTTTTCCACACAACTGCCAGTTGGTTCGGTTATCATGGCAACGAATAGTAACGTTAACAGTTTAACGCTAACGCCTGGGATTGGAGATATCATCCAGTTAAACGTCGGTGGGACAAGGTAAGCTTCGTCAACAGGACAGCTCGACAAATGATGGTCATCTTTTGGGGAATTTGACCTCTGGCTACGTACGTGTACGATGATATCTGCATGGCCAAGCCGCCATGGATGTAGCTGAAGTAGATACACCACTCAAGGTTGCGTAGGTTAATTCATCATTACTCATTTTCTCTTTCGCACACACACACACACACACACACACACACACACACACACGGCTTTCTTGACAGTTTAAATTGAACTCACGGTACAGCTACATTATTGGTGCGATGTAGTGATGCATTTCTTCAGCAAGGCAATTCCATGAATGACATGGTCAACAAATTAGCCAGCCACCATTTTTATGTTCATAAGTTGATTGCCCCTACATTTTCCATGAGACAGTGTTTGTAATACTTGTGCTGCTGTTGTGTCTTTATACTGTAGGTTCAGCACCTCCAGACAAACTCTGACATGGATCCCAGACTCTTTCTTCTCAAGGTTGGTCAAATGTCAGCATTTGGACTCTTCTCCCACTTCATCTCTACATGGTCAACTATTGACAAGTCACATGAATGCTATCCAGGTTGTGTTGTGAAATGTTGTTATTTCTGGGTTATCCTGTAACTAGACCAGATTAGATCATTGAAGAATCAATGGAAGAAACTGATGTTTTAGTTGATCTAATATGAGGAACATTTCGCTGTGTATGGCAAACATGTAACTGAATGTGTCTGCATAACCACAGCAAGTCTTACAACAGGTACATATTTTAAAGCAGTGGCTCTTAAATCTGACTAAAGGGCAATAATTTAACTTATGTAGAGCCCCCTGAGGCAAGGCCAACTTAACTGTACTACTACTATTGCTACAGCATGGAGGAGTATTACCAGAAACAGGTCAAAGACCCAGTGAGCGTGCTATGGTGCCGTTACAACTTGCTAAAACAAAATTCGTATTACATAATTAATGTTAAGAGGGGATGTTCCATTAACTTGTCTCTGTCTTGCTTCATACTTTTACAATTCTAGTGATGGAAAATGTCAAGGGATTACAATTAGAGTCCGCCATGATTCGAATAATGCAGAAAATCAAGCCAACTGCGTTACTTTTATAAATGTTGTATTTTTCGTTTTTTATTTTAGTGAGTCTTGTAAACACTGTGACAGTCATCGCTGGTTTTTTTTGTTTGTTTTTTTGCGCTTTGGAAAGTATATATGTTTTGGCATACATGGGTGTATGAGTTATTTAGGTGTGATTCATGCCGTAGAGGGGAACCCACTGTTAGAAACAGCTGATTGGGGCTGGGCAAATACTCTGGACTGAACTCACAGTATGACAACAGCTGACCAAGTATTGCTAAATGCCTGTCAGCGTGCCTGCCAGTACACCTGTTTGCCCGCCTGCCTGTCAGTTTCTCAGCCCCCCAGCTGTCTACAGTGTGCAGTCGATATAAACTCATTCTTCATTCAAATGGTCAGCACATTCTGATGCAGCACTAATCTGTAGTTCAGAGTCAAAGGGTACAAGTATGTGATACTGTGCAAATAATTAGTGTGTTTACTTCAGGTGGTGGAAACACTACTGGTAAGTGGAAATGGAGAAGCGCTTGGGTTAACTGGAGCACTCTGTGTGTGTGTTTCACAGTTTGCTGAGTGGAAGGATATCCACTCTTCGGGATGAAACTGGAGCTGTGAGTATAACCTTTGTTGCTTCTTAATCAAAAACTAGGACAGCATGTGCAGGCCACGTCTGAAAACTTTCTAAAAGCTTCCAGCAGAAAGGACACTATATTTGTTCTGTTGTGATGCAACGTGCTGAAATACGAGGCATGGCCAAGTGTGTTCAAGAACAAATAAGATGGCCCACACCCTTCAGTCAATGTTTCATCATTAAATTTCATCTGCTTTACTATTGGTAGATTTGTACTGTAGGACTACAACTAATGATTATTTTAATTACAGTTGAATATGTCAGTTACCTTTCAATGACTAGTTAAGCCAATAAAATGTCAGAAAGTAGCAAAACCCAAAGTTATTCAATTTACAGAGAAATGCAGCACATCCTCATAGTTGATACGCATTTCTTAGTCGTTTATGATTTAAATTAGTTTATCTAAATTGTTGTTGATTAATTTTCTGTCAATTAATGAATAACCTGATCATCTCTGCACTATTTTTATGGACCATTGCTGTTGCTGTTCTGTTGTTGTATTAATGTATATATTGTTACCCCTAACCGAATTACTACCTACACTAGTAATACAGTTAAACATGAACAGTCCTTTCCTATCCCTCCACTTCTAGATATTTATTGACAGAGACCCTACAGCATTTGCACCAATTTTGAATTTCCTCCGAACCAAAGAACTGGACCTGCGGTAAGGAGTCATGACACCATTCAGAGAAATATGCCTGAATGTTTATTTTAGGAAGAATTTGTTGCATTATAAGCAGGGTCTTACAGAATACTTATGCTGTTTTTGTTCTCTGTAGGGGTGTCAACATCAGTATCCTGCGACATGAAGCAGAGTTTTACGGGATAACTCCTTTAGGTGTGTTGCTGTACAGAGTTTTTGGAGGAAATTGAAGTAGCAGCCTTGTTCTGACAACAAATACTGATTCATATAGACGTTATGGAAACCTCATGCACCTGCCTTATATCAAGTTTGTTTTGTAGCCAATGCATTTTTTTCACAAGATTTGTCAGCTGTCACTACATGTCTACAACATCACCAGGTATAGCATACCAGCTGAGTATGTGGGTATTTGGGCTACAAGCTATAGTACAAGTGAAATACTGTTGTTACATTGAAAAGTTGTCCTGTAATATGAACGGTTGTTTTGGCTTCAAATGCAACTTGTCCAAGTTCAGAACCTTATTACTGTTTCATGTGCTCTAATGGTGTTTTACTTCCTGTTTCAGTGTTTGTAACTTCCCCGCATTGTCTCCGTACTTGAATGGGAAGGTTACCTTTGTGAAAACTGATGAGCTGCTTAAAATCATAATATGCATAGCAGCACATATGAGAGTAATTAAATATAATTTAAAATTACAGCTCAAAGAAAACATCTAATCAGTCGTGTAATTTCTCATTATCTTGCAAAATGAAGAAATAGAGCATGGGGTTTAAAATCAATAGAACAAAAGGAGGATTTATAGGATGATATCCATCAGTGAAAAAATTATTATATGTATCAGCATCAGTAAATATAATCATCCATTACATTTTCCTAATTGTTATTTTTTCATGTTTCACAGTAATTAAATAAGTAGTTACTTAATTCTGAGAAATATCTATCATGTCACTTTGGCCATCATGGGCTCATTGCAGTTTCTGTATGCGTATGTGCATGTGTTCAGTGCGACGCCTGCTGCTGTGTGAGGAACTGGACCGCTCATCATGTGGAAGTGTTCTCTTCCACGGTTACCTGCCGCCCCCAGGTAAAGACATGGAACTGAGCGATTCCGAAAATGAAGTGAAAATAGAGTCAACTGTGAACAGAATATTCAACTGACAAAAAACAGATGCAGGAAGCAAATTACCTCTTCATAAGTCACAAAATACAAATCTGCAGAAATTTCTATTTATAAATTTTTCATCTTCATTTTCATCTTTCCTTGACAGCCATCCCTGCCCGTAAGTCAAGCCCTGGCTCTTCCTCTGATGAGCGTCCGGGTCCCAGTGGAGCAGAGGGCTTCACCCGTGTTGTCCCCCCTCCTCATCCTTCCCTTTCTGGCCCACCTGGAACAGACGACAACCACAAACTGAGTGAGTAACTGAGTATAGTATATGTACTTTTTTGTACTGTTTATGCTTGTCTGCGTGTGTGTGTGCATTAATGCTGGCGCTAATGTGACCTGACACATCCTTTTAGTGGGCTGACTAACTGACTGAGGTAGCCTACTTTCACATTAGCCTGCGCTCTGTTGAGGATGACATCAGGGAAGATAGTTTT